AGAGAAACACTATCGGAGATTCAAGGCGCGGGTTAGCGGCTTATCGACAATCGAAACACACAATCCTCATCATTGGTGCTTTCATTGAGAGGTGTTGATCGTGTGTTTTTCCCTACCCCATTCCCTTTTCTTCTTCTTCTCTTTTTCTCGTTCGATTAAAAAAAAAATCGTTCATCATCATATTCATCTTCAACCAGGAGTCTGCAAAGCAAAGAGCGAAGAGAGGAAAGGAAAGCCATGGCCAACAAAAAGATGAAAGATAAAATCGATAATCTCGATGTCCAGTTCCGTGGCATGAGTGAAGCTATCGATAGGTTGGGCGAAGGACTCATCAATACCAAGGCAACGGTACAAGATCTGATGGAAACAGTGAACAGGCGCTTTGATGAGATGGCGCGCACAGTTCTCGTGCGCCTACCACTGCCGCGGCAACACGATCGCGCACAGCACCAGGATCGCGAGCGGGACGATGGCGAGGCACGACGTCACGAAGGGCACGAACGCGAGGAGAATTTTGACTGACAGTCCCAAGCATCTAATTATCGCGATCGACGTGCACCTAACAAGCCGCGCATCACGATGTCCCCGTTCACGGGCAGCGATCCAGACGCATGGCTCAACAGGGCGATGCAATATTTTGAGCTCAATGAAACTGATGGTCCAGATCGTGTAAGGTATGCAGCTTATTATCTAGATGGTGAAGCCAATGTATGGTGGCAATGGCTCACAAGGATTTACCGTAAGCGGCAGCAAATTATCACTTGGGATGTGTTTGAAAGAGAGTTTCTTACATGGTTCGGTACATCTGATTACCATAACTACAACGAGGCGCTCGCATGCATACGGCAGACAGGCAGCTTGCGCGAGTACATCAGGGAGTTCGATGGTGAGGCCAATGTATGGTGGCAATGGCTCACAAGGATTTACCGTAAGCGGCAGCAAATTATCACTTGGGATGTGTTTGAAAGAGAGTTGCTTACACGGTTCGGTACATCTGATTACCATAACTACAACGAGGCGCTCGCATGCATACGACAGACAGGCAGCTTGCGCGAGTACATCAGGGAGTTCGAACGGTTGGCCTGTTGCGTGCGCGATTGGCCCGAAGATGCATTGGTGGGAGCATTTGTAGGAGGATTAAAATTTGACCTAGCTGCAGAGGTTCGGCTCATAAGGCCCGACACCATTCACGACGCGATAGAGGTTGCCCGACGACGCGAAGATCATCTGGTTGCGACGCGAAGGGGACGGGCGGATGGCCGGTTTACCGACATGCAACGCATGAGTTCGAGTCATGCGACCATGAGCACCATACCAGCTATCAACGCACGACCATCGGGGCCAGTAATCAGGCAGTTGTCGCCTGAGGAAGTCAAGCGGAGACGTGAGAAAGGCCTCTGCTTTAAGTGCGAGGAAAAGTTTACCCCAGGTCATCAATGCAATCAGGCCTTTGTAATTAAGGTGGCCAACCCCAACGATGAGGAAGCTGAGGTCGAGGATGAACCACATCAGGAAGATGAGGTTGAAGCATTCAATGGGGAGCCAAAAATCTCGATGCATGCAATGGCTGGAATCAGAGGGCCAAGGACAATGCGACTACCAGCATGGGTCAAGGATCGAAGAGTAAACGTACTCGTAGATAACGGGTCATCACACAACCTCATTAATTCCGAATTGTCCCAGAAGCTGAATTTACCAACCACGAAGATTGAGCCTTTTGAAGTTCAAGTAGCCAATGGTGAAAGACTACAATGTACTGAGTCATTCCGGAAGGTGCCAATCAAATTCAACGGAGTTACTGTGAAGGCTGACCTTTATACCTTACCGTTGGTTGGGCCTTATGTCGTTCTGGGAGTACAGTGGCTCGAAGGATTAGGCAAGGTAACTACCGACTATCGAACGGGAATTATGGAGTTCAATTCTTGAGGTCGACAAGTCACTCTGAGTGCTGGCAACGAAAAAGGTACCAAGGAAGTAGGACTGAAGAGCATCGAAAGAGTTTGGCGAGGCGGAGGCCAAATCTTTGCAGTAGTAGTCGAGAACACTGAGGCGCACATAGACCAGGACGAGCAACAGCAAGTAGATGTGCGCGATCTACTCGAGGAGTTTGAGGGAGTACTGGGCGAACCTAAGGGACTACCACCACACCGAGAGTTCGATCATCGCATACCGCTGATCAATGAGCAGCATGCCATACACGTCCACCCTTATAGGTACGCTCACTTTCAGAAAACTGAGATTGAATGGCAAGTGGCCGAGATGCTAGAGACAGGATTAATCCAGCATAGCAAAAGTCCATTTTCTTCTCCAGTACTGTTAGCTAAAAAGAAAGATGACACGTGGAGGTTTTGTACTGACTATCGGGCTTTGAATACCGCGACTATCAAGGACCAATTTCCTATTCCTAGTGTCGACGACATGCTCGATGAGTTAGCTGGATCATGTTAATTCTCAAAGCTCGATCTGAGAGCTGGTTATCATCAGATTCGACTCCACAAAGCCGACATTCTAAAGACAGCATTTCGTACGCACCAGGAGCACTACGAGTATTTGGTTATGCCATTCGGACTGTGCAACGCTCCATCCACCTTTCAGTTTGCTATGAATTCCATCTTCAAGGAGTACCTCCGTAAGTTTGATCTAGTATTCTTTGATGATATCTTGATATATTCAAAGTCGTGGGCTGAGCATCTTGAGCATTTGAGAGTGGTGCTTGAAATCTTGGAGGCCAACTCATTTCACATCAAGCCATCTAAGTGTTCTTTCGGGCAGAAGATGGTTGAGTATCTAGGGCATTTCATATCCCACGAGGGAGTGAAGGTTGATCCATGAAAGATCGAGGCTATGGTCGACTGGCCTAAACCGACAAGTCTCACACAGCTAAGAGGATTTCTAGGACTTACGGGCTACTACAGAAATTTTGTGAAGGATTATGGAACCATCGCCAAGCCATTGACAGAGATGACTAAGAAAGACGGGTTCACCTGGACCGAAGCTGGCGAGGAGGCGTTTGGGAAACTGAAAGTCGCTATGACTACAACGCCAGTACTCGCCATGCCGAGGTTCAATGTCTTGTTCGAGGTACACAAAGATGCGAGTGACATTGGGATTAGAGTTGTGCTAGTGCAAGAAGGACGACCCTTAGCCTATCTCAGCAATGCACTAGGCACGACTCGACTAGGTCTATTGTGCACGTGAGGGAGATGCTAGCAGTTGTCGAGGCTGTAAGGTGCTGGAGGCCTTACCTATTGGGACGACGCTTTTGGATTGTGACCGACCAGCAGCCGCCCAAGCATCTACTCGAGCAAAGGATTGTTACCCCCGAGCAGCAGAAGTTCGTGTCAAAACTTATGGGATTTGCTTTGAGATAATCTACCGACCAGGCCGACAGAATGCAGTAGCTGATACACTATCCAGACGGACTGATATAGCTGAGCTTGATGCTATCACCGGACCGACTTGGACTATTTGGGAAGAAGTCAGGAAGGTGCAAGAGGAGGACCCTTATTGCCAGGAGTTGCGCCAAGCGATCGAAGCAGGTAAAGAAACTGTTGTTGATTATGAGTTGCACAAAGGTCTGCTTCTACACCGAGGCCGAATATTCGTTCCCGACAGAGGACAGTTACGCGGGCAGATCATGCAGCACTCTCACGATTCTAAGATTGGAGGCCACTCGGGTATCTACCGCACGTGGATGAGAATAACCAATACCTTCTTTTGGCCAGGACAGCAGAATACGGTCCGAGATTACATAGCACGGTGCGACGACTATCAGCGCACTAAGGCTGATTCGCGATGACCAAGCGGCCTATTACAACCCCTACCAGTACCCGATGCAGTTTGGGAAGACATTACTATGGATTTCATAGAGGGGTTACCGAGTTCTAATGGATTCAACGGTGTTATGGTCGTGGTGGATCGTCTCACAAAGTATACTCACTTCATACCCATAACTCATCCTTACACAGCCAAGTCTATTGCCAGGTTATTTGTGGAGTACGTGATGAAGCTGCATGGGGCACCACGAACTATCGTCTCTAATCGAGACTGAATCTTTATGAGCAGCTTTTGGTCTGAATTCTTCAAATTGCAAGGAATCAAGTTATCTATGAGCTCAGCCTACCAGCCACAGACAGACGGACAAACTGAGGTAACCAACCAAACTCTCAAGCAGTACTTAAGGTGCTATGTCCATCAATTTCCGAAAAGGTGGGAGAACTTTTTGCCCTGGGCTGAGTACTGGTACAACACCACATACCACGAGTCGACCAAAATGACACCATTCGAGAAGGTGTATGGACGTAAACCCCCGACACTGATCAGCAGAACTCGAGGAACGGGATTTGATGTTGCGAGAATTAAGGAAAAATCTCGAAGGCTCAATTAATCGGACCAAAGCCTTCGCTGATGGAAAAAGGCGTGAGGAAAGCTTTGTACTAGGAGAGTATGTTTATCGAAAGCTACGACCATTCAGACAGCGCACAATAGCACAAAGGGCAGCCACTAAGCTAGGAGTTCGCTATTATGGGCCTTATCAGATTCTGAAGCGCATTGGTCAGGTAGCTTATCGGCTAGAACTGCCAGAAAGTTCGCAGATCCACCCGGTTATCCATGTCTCGCAGCTCAAAAGAAGTCTAGGAGAAGCGCAGAAGTATTTTGAGGAATTACCAGCAATCGCAACCGACTGAAGGATCATCGTGCGTCCAAAGAAAGCGATGGAGTATCGAAAGGTAAGGAAAGTGAGACGCTATAGTTGGGAAGTACTAGTTGATTGGGAAGAGTTGCCTCCCGAAGAAGCCACGTGGGAAGATCTTGATGAGATGCGCGATCAGTTCCCAAATTTCATCCTTGAGGACAAGGAAGCACTTGAAGGGGACGGGAATTATGCGGAGGTGGCTAGGCAGCTAAAAAATG